TTGTCACAGTGGCTAGAGACTAACACAGCATGATTTTCTAAAATTGAGAGTATATAATGTTTCAGAAAGGGTGTGGCATCTGTGTCAATTGGGAGGTCCAGATATGAAAAGAGAAGTCATACTACAGAGACAGTAAAACAACAATGGAAGAAAATGGCTCAGAGACGTGAAGAAAACTACTGAGAGAAGGACAAACAAGTGGAGTTTTAGAGAGACTACAGGTTCGGGAGAAGAAGACAAATACTGATCTGAAAGCATGGACAAGGAGCAAAGAAGCCCTCTCTCCAGAACCTCACAAAAACCTCCAACTTAAGTTATTCTTCCTGTCCTGGATATCTCCTCAAGGAATGTTGTCTGAGCAAAGCAGCCAGCCCTCCAAAAAAAGCTGCGAAGGGTCTAAGGGTGCTCTGGAAGCCCATCCTCAAAGAGAGTTCAGGCTAATAAAGTCTTTGTCAAAACAGGACTGCCCAGCCTCAGATTCTCTAGCCTGGTACTCCTTAAGGAGCTGATTCTCCACTGTCACTATCACCATTGCAGGCTCGGTGCATTTAGGAATGTACATAGAGACATGGAGATAGAGGGGACATAGGCCACCACAATATATAGGCCAGTGTCCCTCATCCTGCAATGCTCAGGACAGCTCTCTACCATAGATGATTATATGGCCCAGAATGTTCACAGAGCTGAGCTTCTGAAAACCTGCTCTAAACAGGTGCTCACAGGAACTTTTATGTTCTGCCAGAGAGGTGGATTATCCCATCCTTATGGTTTATTCACATCCAAATTGACAAGTATGACTAAGGAGTCAGACCACACCTGCCTTGTGAATTGCATTTCAAATACATTCAAATAGGACCAAGGAAAGACAAGCATAGTAGATGTTAAAAGGAAAAAATAAAAGAAGCAGCAGTGTCATCCACCAAATACTAAAATAAAACCAACACAAAATACTAAAGATAAGAACCAATACAATGGATTTTCCTTTAATTTAAGACAGAAGAACATGCAACACCATTCATTCTGACTAATCAATCATCACAGCAAGTTCAGCATGCTCCCTTAACGCTGCTCACTTCCAAACACTCCTTTGGCACTATGGTGCTTCTGTATTTTTGTTTGCAAAAGAGTTCTATGTAAAAGGAGCTTTGGTTCTTGTAAAGAAAAAAAAATCCTTGAATACACAATAGTTAATAGGTTGTCCTAAGAATGGAGACTCTTTCAACCTCGACAACAGAGAGTCAAATGTACATTGGCTTCATTAATGTTTCATGACAAAATCCAGTATCTTATTTAAATGATTGTACAATCTTCAGTCATGGAAATAAAACAGATTGTCTTTAGCTACCTTCCCAGAATCCTCTTTCATGTTCTTTCAGTGATAGCACAGCAGGTAACAGTTTGCCCTTTCTTAAGGCTTCTCCAGAAAAGCTTCCCCAAATGGACCTGCTTTCAGTAGATGGCATTCTGCCATTCCAATTTCCACTCTAACATCTCCTCAAGGAAAATGTAAACTCATGCATAGAAGAAGAGATAGTTGTGTCTCAATGAAAAAGTAGATGCTCCTGCCTTTATTATCAGGCTGTCTCGAACCCACTGTGCTATTTTATCAGAGGAGGTTTTATGGAGAGATGTTTCATGCACATGCTATTAAAGGAGTTAATTCTCGGAGATATATTGAGTGGATTGAGGCAAGTCAGGCCTTACTGCAAGGCCCAGCAGTAGCGTTAACAAAAGGAGAAGTGTCAACCTCTGTTTCTCTGTGTGGGGTTCAAGGGCACTTACAAAGTTTCTGAAACCGAAGCACTTTCAATATTCCCTTTTAAACACCGCTCTCCCAATACTGTACTGTTCTTCATAGGAATGTGGTCAGGGCACTATTGATGGACATTTCAATATGTGTTGATATTTTGAGAACTGAAAGGTTATTTTGGTTTGAAATACAAAAGTCACACCTATCTATATACATACAAATATGCATGTAGTATGTAGGTTTATACGGATGTATAGATAGAGCCTAAATATATTATTTGATTGATTTATTCACTCAAGAAAATGAAATTGATTTGAGGTGATAAATGATCAGTTTCCTTAATTTGATCAGTAAACAGTGAAGGCATGAAATCTTGTGCTTTATCCAGTAAATATGCACAGTTATTTCATAATTTCCAAATATGAATACTAAATTTTAATTTAAAAATAAAATTGGAATTATCTCAAGATGTCCTTCAGGACAACTGGCAAGAAAATCATATGCATAACTCAAGTAATGGAAAATATGAAGAAAACTATAAGCATGCAGATTACATGTGAAGTGTGCTCACATTATTTATCTGAATTCTCCTCATGGAGTAGAATATTCCTAATGGTAGGGAGCATTATTTCCCATTAATGGAAGTCTAAGTGAGGAGCCCACCGAATACAGTGAGCTGCCTTGAGTCACCAGCATGGAAAAAGCAAAGGCAGGCTTCTTGAATGCTTGCCAGTCTCTCTCCCTCTGCATCCTAGACTCTCTCTAAACCTATATTTGGGCTAGATTAGTAAGTAGTTCTGTAGATATATGAAGTCAAAGGCCAATCATACTAAATACACAGTGGATATATCAATTTTAAGCATATGAAATTTAATATGTATACACTGAAAATATATTTAATATGTATACACTGAAAAAGACCAAGAAAAAATGGAATAAAAATAGCCAGAACTTGCTTTTCCTATGGAAATGCTTAAGCACCTGTTAAGATCACCAAAATATGTTCCTCTGTGTATTATGCCTGCTCCAGGTTAATTAAGGCAAAGGATAAGGGAGAAGCAAAAGTAAAAGAGGAAAAAGAAGGAGGAGGAGAAGAAGAAGAAGATGATGATGATGATGATGATGATGATGATGATGACGACGATGATGCTAACAATGATGAAGACAACAACAAAAAGAAAGAAGCTAAAGGCTTAATACGGCTAGACCAGATCAAAATTGAGGAAAAAAGAAAAAACTAGCCCAGCAACCCATCCTTTGCTAAGGTCCCAGCTCTGTTCAGCCAAAGTAAATGTCAGAGTTTTCTTGCTGTATTAGAAGATGGGATTTCTACAAGCTGAAAAGTTTTAAGAATAAGTCACATCTTCACAGAAGTCTTTTTTTTCTTCTTAAAATTAGCTATTATGTGATATAATAAATATTTTTTAATTCTTTCTCCAATTAAAAGAATTTCTTTATATTGCCATCATAACCTCTTTTCCTGTCTCTCTGCCCTGGTCTGGGACTATCTGGCTGTTGGGTGGAGTAGCAGATCCAAGCGTGGGAAGCACACAAATTGCCTGGGCCTCACCCTGCTGTGCTGCAACCTTCACCAAGAAGCAGGTGAGCCTTGAGGCCAGCTGAGGAAAGACCTTTGGTTTGCATAGACCTGTGTGCAGCCCAGAAGCTCCAGGCTGAGCCTCTGCTGCCAGCTCCCAGGTCATTTGACTTTAATAAAGGTTCTTAGTTATGTATTCTAACCTAGAGATTCTGTGCAAGAATGAAGTGTTGACAAGGGATTTTTAAGATAGTTTTAAAAAAGAAAATTACAGATGCAATTCGCATTGATGTAAGGTTTTTTGTAGAAAAAAAAAAAAAAAGATTCTTACTAATGACGACAACCAAAAAGTGAAAACAAAAGTTCCTTAAGTTGCTTTTCTTCAAAACCACTGTTTTGTCTTGTAGGCCTGAACACATAACCTCCCCACTTTCCTTTTGCTTTAGAACTCTTACTATTTCCTTTCTTGTTCATTCTTCCTTAAGTTTTATTTTATTTCATTTTATTTTATTATACAATTTTAGCACTTAAGACTGGAACACAGGGCCACTTCCCTGCTCTGCATGTGCTCTGCCAATAAGCCAGATCACAATCCCTTTTCTTCTTAGTTCTTGTGATCGCTACAACTATTAAAGTACCCTGGTTCTCAAGATCCCAGGGAAAGTGATTAAAATTGCTACAGTGGGATTTGCTTATTATGATACTAAATTTGAACATAACAGGTTTCCCATAATTCAAACACTGGAAAAGTAAATCATCTATCCCTTCCCAGGGTTCAAGGATCAATGCAGAGGAAGGGCGAAAAGGTTCACCGAGGGAAGTAGTTTGTGTGAACTCGCAGAGGTTGTGGCAGTATTCATGAGATCTGCGCAAGATCCAGCCAGACAAAACCCCAACAAGGAAAGGGTAGACACTAACTCCCACTCCTAGCTAAGGAGCTATTGGCAACTGGTGGCTACTGGCAGAAGAGCCAATTTTCTTCAAAGAGGCTACCAGGAGCTGGCCCTACACCATACACACACTGGTAGCTCTGGGTGGACTCAGTGGATAAAAAGAAAAACAAAAAACGCACAAAATTGGAATGGAATATTGGAGTAGGCAGAGGAGAAAACAGAGCAGAAGGAAAGCAGACTGGATTCAATCAAACATGCCCTATATGTGTGTATGAAATTGTCAAACGATAAAAAATAATTAAATTTATGGAAATAAAAATGTCTTGAAATAAAATTTAAAAATAAAAAAGTAAATTATCTAAAATGGCTGACCTCATTGTTGGTTCCCTGCTACAGTCCCACAGGTTGAGTAATAAGGACACCTACTGAGATGTTTAAAAAATATGTCAGTCACTCTACATTAAAACCTTTTGCAGAAAGGGGGGAGGGTGGGAACGGGAGAGGAGGAGAGAGGGGCTTATGGGGGGAAACAAAATGAATAAAGTGTAATTAATAAAAGTTAAAAAAACAAAAAACCTTTTGATGTATTATCTCATTTAAATCTTACAAGAAATTGATGAGGTTATTGTGAAAACTGCTGTTACCTTACAGATAAGAAAAACAGAGCACAGAAATTAAGTAAATTGCCCCAGATTGTTCACTCCACCAGCTGGTCAGTTGGGGGCTGGCTTTGCCTTCCATGGGACCATCATGGCTCTGTCTTTAAGGACTATTCTGTCTGGTACATTGCTATCCATCCCATGCAGGAATGTAAACTCACATCTCTCATCATTTTCACTGCTTCTCTGGTCCTCCCAAGTCTTCGGGCACACATTGCCAGCCTTCTTTTGATATAGACCAAGACATTGGTGTCTCTTCCTGAGAAAGGAGAGAAAAAACATCAACAGTTACAAAATCGATAAAACCAAGAGCTTTAAGTTAAGAAAAAATGCAGAGGCTCACTTGGTTTATTCCCCCTTACGGAAAACCCCCAGAGAGAACAGTCTGCTCCTTTGGCCTTTCCTACTGCCAAGAGCACAGAGAACTTGCTTTGTTAATAATACAATGAGTGCAGAGTAAAGCAAAAGCACTTAGATGCCCAAAGGCCAACATCATGACTGATTACCTAATGCTTTCGAATTAAGCATGTTGAATATCTGATAATAAATAAAATCTCTGCCACACAGAGCTAAGAAAATAAACACACCAACATTGCCTGCAGTTTACAAGCAAGAATTCCATATTCTGTAAGTGTGCATGCTTTTGGCAAAGACGCAAAGAGGTGAATCTCAGGTTGCATCCTGATGAACTATTTTTTTCCCGTTCTTGACATTAACTCTGGAGAAGCCTCATCATGAACTTCTGGTTCATATTATTCTTTCTCTAACACTAGTGACATCATAATCATCTCCAGGTCCCAAAAGCAGTTGGTTTTAGATGGCAATATAACACATTCCAGATATGACAATAGAGTATGCAACAAAATGAAAAACTACCCTAGTGTTAGAGAAGGCACTGACAAGCTCAACAGTTACAACAATAGTCACGAACACGGCCCTTAAAAAAGTATATTAGCAACTTCTTATCTTAATTTTTTATTTAATTATGTATTTTGGATATGTTTCCAGACCAGTGAGAACATGCATATGCTTAATCCTCAATAAAATTACTGTGTTTGAGAAAAATATGACACACCTGTTATGGATTAAGAGCATGTATGATGCTCAGCTATTAAAAGATGTTGAGACCAAAGTCTGAACATTTCAAGTTTAAAACAATGAGAACAAGATGTGTGCTGAAAAACTGCCAAGTACCTACAAATTATTTTAAAGATGTGATTATATTTTTGGATAGATTTAGGCAACAGGTTGAAAGGATTTAATTTAGAGAAGAAAAGATAGAAAATGTCTTAAGTTATATTATAGGTTATATAGTTTATATATTAATTTGCATTTAGTCCACAAAATGGACATTTACTACACATCTTCAAAATACACTGCTATATTTTTATAATGATCAAAGACCTTATCGCTATATCTACTCACTGCAGACTAAAACTGGAAACCTGTGTATAGAAGGCTTGTGTGGAGATATCCCCACACATGTGGACTATAATGCAATGATACTGCTGGCACCTGAGACCCAGAGTCCCACTCAGAGTCTATACTCAATCCAAGTTTAATATTAAAACTTAATTATATAATATCAAGTATGAAGGACACATACCCCTACTTTTTAAACTACAGGAGAGAGAGATGAAGTGAGAGAAATTTTACCTAAAAGAAACAACCCACATTTTTGTCAGACCATGAAAACACTTTTCTCCCACAAGGATCACTGGATTTCTGTTTAAATAACCAACCATGATGAGTCCAGGGGCTCAGGGAACTCCAGCAATTACTTTGTCTTACTTCTATAGTGTTCCCACAAAGTATCATGGGTTCTCAGTTTGGGGAACTGAAGTAAAGGGTCTCAGCCTTTAGGGTGTTATTTCACAAAAAAATGTATTATTTTAACAAAATATCAATAAATTAGGACCTCATGGTCCTTTCTCTCTCAAATACAAAACTAATGTTTCTTATATAATAACTAAATGTTGATAGTCTATAGCCAATAAAAGTTCTATCCTAAATTGTCCCTTTCAACCATGCTTTTACCCATGCTATGCAAGGATCAGAAGATAACAATTTTATGATACTAAAAATTAGTTTATGTCCAGTTGCCAAACTTGGACTTAACGCTATGAAATGGAGCAGCTGATGAGATGGACCTCCTGAACAGAATATATAGAAATTCAGGGGATAAGTTATTATTAAAAGTTATAGTGGTGAGAGGTGCATGGGAGAGTTTGGAGGAAGGAAAGGAAAAAGAAAAATGATGGAATTACAAGCTCAAAAATTGCTTTAAAAGTTACTGCTGTTTGTTTGTGGCAGTGACATCCTGTGGGCATAGTACCAACCAGGGTGCCTGTGCACCAGGTGGAGCTTCATCTAAAGGAACCCATCTCTGGGACGGACTGAATCTTTGTTCTAACTATCATTTTACCACCCTGACTCCCCAGCACATCACCCTGGAGGAACCTTACTGTGTTGAGCTTCATACTGGGAGCCGTGATGTTGTAGCTGCTGAGAACGCCGGTAACAACCATCTCCAGCCTTCAGGGCCTGCTTGAAGAGTTTTTCTGCTTCAGCAATAGTTGTTGCTTCTTCTTCGGCCAAGAGAATGTAAGCAGTTGCACACCTGTCCATTCAGACATTACAAATTACATCCAAGGACGCTGCAAGAGACTGTGGGAGCTCATGCACAAGGGCAAGGAGTCACGCCAAACATGCAGCATGACCAACTGTTTCATGCACCTGTTTGTAGCTGTTGACACAGTAATGGTACGAAAGAAATACCTGGAGTTTAGCTGGAGAGGAAAGGTGTGTATGTTAGGAGCATGGGGCCCCTTACTAATGTGTCACCTGGAGCAAGGTACGCCTCTGCCTCCCTGATGGAGAACATGGGGTCTAGTCCATGTCTTTGTGAAGGTTCAATAAGATGCTTTCTGTGACATGCTCAGTGTAGCAGTCAGCACTGAGGTATGCTCAGTGAATGTCAGCTAATGATGATGAGTATAGCAGCTACTAAAGGGTGTCGCACCCAATACTTAGTGAGGTACATATAAGCTCCCTTTAGCTTATTACACAGAGATTGTTTTCAATCAGGAATTTCTTCAGAGCATAAAATTCATTAATGAATTAAAATTCATCAATAAAAGTGACTGAAAAAAAAATTGAAAGTGCTGTAAACTCCCACAGCAGCACTGATTGTCTGCATCAGAAAACACAAGAAGAAGGTGTGGAAGTAGTTTCTGGAAAGCTCAAACTCTGATGTGGTCACACAGCCTAAGAGTCCACTCATGCCTCTAACAACAAGCTGAGTGTACAGTAAGCACCGTGCGGGCACTAAACATGTGCTCACATGACCCTTTCAACAACCTTGTGAGGCAGGAAGCCAAAAAGAATATGCAGTTAACTAACCACCACAGGAGGCTTTTAGAGATGCAAACCTTCCAAATCATACAAAGAGCAGCCTGCTGTGAGAGAAAGGCAGGGTGAGAGGGGAGGAGGAGGGCAGAACAGACCACACACGGGTGCTGAGCTGCCCTCACCCCTTGTGTCTTCCTCACTTCTTCTCTGTGGCCAGTGCCTTACTTCTCTCCATCAGACCACAAAAGAGGAAACAAACAAATTAAAACTAAGTATTACTGTTTGAAAACTGAGGCCAGCTAGGAGAAAGCATGAACTTAACAGATAATGTTAGGTCTGGGGTCATCTAATCCTTAAAGGTGGGAAGCCTTACAGATTCTTCATCCCACCTCTCTAACTTCAAGTAGGAACCATCAGCGAGGCTTTAGCTAAATATGATGAGGTAGGGAGAAAACACCCGGAATAAACACTAGAGAATAAGTCACTACAGAGAGGAGAGTATCTGACCTGGACAGAACAGTAGTGATGCTAGAACTGTCTCGGTATTTACTGAAGGGAACTACTGGACTAGGCATCAGAGGGAATACTTAGGGTTTCACATGTCCACTCATAAATATAGGTTTAAGGTAATGAACTGAATACTGAGTCAATAAACTATAGGCACAGCTTCAGAGGAATTAGCTATAGGAGCTCGTCTGGTGGGCTGGAGCTCAAGAATAGTCCGGGCTAGGCTGCTTGCTGTGTGTGTTCTTATTTCAAGTAGTATTCTTAGGAGGAGAGGGAGAACAGCAGTCCTAGCCAGGAAACGTATCGATGTGGAAACTTACTGTTTTGGGTAGGAACGTGCTAAGAGTCTGTGCATAAAAGAGAGAGAGCAATAGAATTGCTAATGAGCAGGGGACAGAGCATGGTTCTCAGTGGAAGATGGGTGTGATGCATCTTTTTCACAACACAATACACACACAGAAGCAAGAAGTGTGGAGATGGGACGTCAACCATCCAGGAATCTGCTATACATCTTGATTGGTTAGAAGTAGGGTGCCGGATAGCTTCTTGACTTACTTTGGTAACAATTTTATCTCCCAGATGGTAGAGGAAGCAATTAGGGGAACTTCAACTCTGGACCTAATTCTGACCAAGAAGAAAAAAATAGTTGGTGAAATGAAAACTGATAGGAACATTCAGTGAGTGTTACTATGGCATTTCAGAGCTCAGGGCAACCAGAGAGGAGGAGGTGGATTTTGAAAATTCATAAAACGAGGCATGAGTGGATGGCATGAGATGTAAAGTGGAAAATGGCTCAAGAGGACAGAATAGCTTCCGTATGTGCAGTTGTAATCATAATGACAACCTCCCAGGAAGGGTAGAAAGGCAGCATTGAAGGAACCAGTATGGCTCCATGGAGACCTAGCCCAGGTCATATTCTTAAAGGACATGCAAACAAAACAAAAGATGAAAAGAGTGCACGTGATAGACTGTAAGAAGTGGAATGAATTCATAAGAATAACATCAGGAGAGATGAAATTCCATATTGGCAAGGGTTGCCTAAAATAAATAAATAAATAAATAGATAGATAGATAGATAGATAGATAGATAGATAGATAGATAGATAGAT